GATTGCCTCTTCCCTGGTCCTTTGGGGCAGTGGGTAGTCAGACCACTGCTTCTGCCAAGCTTTCCTTCACACCAGCTGTGATCTCAGGTGCAACCTCCACGGTCTCACTGGTAACCCCAGCCAGAGCCAGACAGGGCCTCAGTTATCCCGAGTTCCTGGGAGACCTAAGACGGTGGTCCAGAGAGACCCAGAGGAGAAAGCACAAGTTTTATGTTTCCTCTTCTGCCTCAATGTGAACATCAGTGTAGAGCTGACTTCATTGACCATGAGCCCGAGGCCAGCTGTACCCTGGGGCCCTGCTTAACGTTCTGGTCCCAGGTTCCATCCTCAAGATCAGGGAAAGGGTCTATTCCTTTTTTTTGTTTTTTGGGGTTTTTTTTGCGGTACGCGGGCCTCCCACTGCCGCGGCCTCTCCCGTCGCGGAGCACAGGCTCCGGACGCGCAGGCCCAGCGGCCACGGCCCACGGGCCCAGCCGCTCCGCGGCACGCGGGACCCTCCCGGACCGGGGCACGAACCCGTATCGCCTACATCCGTAGGCAGACTCTCAACCACTGCGCCACCAGGGAAGCCCAAGGGTCTATTCTTGTAGTAGGAGACACTTGGGTCCAAGCTCTCATGGCCTCCTCTGAAATTCCTTTCTGCTTCTAAATCAAGATTTTGTTAAAACATCTTGGGGTGGGGCGTGGTTCATAGATTCCTTTGGGAACCTGATGAATGTTTAGGTCCCTTCCCAGAAAGATGCATGCGATTGTGCGCGCGCACACACACACACACACACACACACACACACACACACACACACCCCTGCATGCAAATTTAGGGGTTTTATAGATTCTCTGAAACCCAGCCAGGGATCCTAGGTCAAGAATCTCTAATCTAAGAGCTTCAGTACCCCCTGAACCATGAAGTCCTGTTACAGAGATTCCCAGCCTGCTTCAGAGGTTGGATACCAGCCTGTCTCAAGCTTTTTGACCTCCTAGATTTACTTCCAGTTCTGATTCACTGCTCTTTTCAAGTATTTGACTTTTTTTCTTATAGAACATTTAGAAAACACAAATGAGTACAGAGAAGAGAATAAAAATCACCTAAACTCCCACTAATCTGAAGATAATCCCCTGTTATCGTTTTTATGTTTCCCTCTAGTCTTTTCCTTTATACGCCCATACACTTAGGGTTATATGAAAATATTGTCATATAACCTTTTTTTTTTTTTGCGGTATGCGGGCCTCTCACTGTTGTGGCCTCTTCCGTTGCGGAGCACAGGCTCCAGACGCACAGGCTCAGCGGCCATGGCTCACGGGCCCAGCTGCTCTGCGGCATGTGGGATCTTCCCGGACCGGGGCACGAACCCACGTCCCCTGCATCGGCAGGCGGACTCTCAACCACTGCACCACCAGGGAAGCCCTGTCATATAACCTTTTAAAATATATCATGAACATATTTCCATGCCACGAAACAAATTTCTACAAGCAGACATTTAAATAGCTGCATGTTAATTCTATATTTTGGATTCTCATAGTTTATTAAAACAATTCCCTCTTGTTGAACAGAGTTACTTCCATTTTTTCCTGTGTCTAAGCTGCTTTAGACTATGCAAACTACCTGTAAGCCATGATGTAGAGCTCCATCACTTCTGCATGTTTCAATTCTAGTAGCAGAATACATTCTAGTGCCAATTTTGGTCTTCCTCTGGGACTCTTCAGTCCTTATAAGTGTACCTTTTCCTGAATCATCACTTGGATCTTCAAAATAATTTGACAATAAGTTGAGAGGATAAACTACCACCTCCTCTAGATCTGCCAGCCACATCCCATAGTCCTTGTGCAACTACTGCCTACATCACTGAGGTCGTGTGTGTTTTCCTCTTACCACCCGTCCAGGTGGGGACAAGGACATGGACTTTGACATCGAGAAGACCACAGGCAGCATTGTCATCGCCAAGCCTCTCGATACAAGGAGGAGGTCAAGCTATAACTTGACCGTGGAGGTGACCGATGGGTCCCACACCGTTGCCACCCAGGTGAGAGGCCTCACTGGGAACCCTGAGTTGAGAGGAGATGGGAGGCCTCCTTGGTTGGAAGGCAGCTGTGCTCACCACTGTGCCACCATTGCACACTGGGGCCTCTTTGGTTGGGATGAGGATACCGAAGGCTCTCTGTGCATGTGGTGTACCTGAAGGAACACTGAATTTGGAATCAAGGTTCTGTGCTCTAGTCTTGTCTGATCACTCTCTATGTCTGTGATCTTGGGAGAATTCTTGTTCCCACTGTGGATCTCTACATAATGAGGGGTTTTGTCTAAATGAGCAGGTTTTACTTAAAGGTAGAGTGCCACAGGGGCTACCATAGACATAAGGAATGATGGGAAGTGGGGCTCTGGATTTCTACTCTGCTTTCAGCCAGTTTTATTTGTTTCATATACTGGAATTGCACCCAAAAAATTGCATCTGAAGAAAAGGCCCTTTAGGAAGAATTTTGGTTTTGAAAACCACGAAACTGCATACCATCTGAAAGCCCTGTGATTTTGAAATCCTATCATTCATTCAACAAATATTTATCAAGTGACTGCTGTGTGCCAGGCCCAGTTGCTCTGGTGGAGAACCAGACAGACAAGGTTCCTGACCCCCTGGAGCTTACAGTCTGCCTTCTCTTTCATTCTTCTCCTTAGGTCTACATCTTCATGATTGCCAGTGTTAACCACCATCGGCCCCAGTTTTTGAAGCCTCATTATGAGGTCAGAGCTCCCCAGGACACGCTGCCTGGGGTTGAGCTCCTCCGAGTCCAGGCTACTGATCAAGACAAGGGCAAGGGCCTCATCTACACCATACACGGCAGCCAAGACCCGGGAAGTGCCAGCCTCTTCCAGCTGGACCCAAGTAGTGGTGTCCTGGTAACTGTGGGGAAATTGGACCTGGGCTCGGGGCCTTCCCAGCACACACTGACAGTTATGGTGAGTTAACTGAAATCTGGGTAAGGATGTGCTTGCATGCGATGTGTGGGGTGGACATGCTTGGAGGCGTGCTGAAGGTTCCCTTTCTCCTGCTGAGCCAGCTGTACTAATGCTCATAATGATAATCCATGAGATGAGCTGTGACATTTCACAGCCTGCCAGAGGCACCTTCCATAACGGATGCCTGGGAGTGAGGAAAGAGATGGGACAGCTGCCAAAGAACCCCCTGCAAACTTGGCTTTTTCTGGGCTCACTCCAAATATCCCCCAAGAATTCTCTCCTTGCTCCATGACTGCATGATCACACAGACTCACATAGCGTCAGAGCTGGGAGAGACCCAGAGACCATCCCACCCAGAGCAAGCAGGTATATAGGGCACAAATGAAGGAGGACTTGACTCTTAGGGTCACGTGCCTGCAGTTTTATGACCCTGAGAGTGAGAGCTTCCTTAAATTTATGCCCTACATGCCTCATTTGCCTCACTCTAGTCCCAGCCCTGGTCTCACCCATTTCTCTTATCTTACACCTGAGGCCCATAGAGGAAGAGAGACTTGCTCACCATCATATAGTTCTTTACGATGGAACCCAAATCAGAGCCAAGCCTTCCAGACTCAAGGTTCTTATGTGTTAGTTTATCATCCTCTGGGCACTTATATATATATTAAACGCTCTGAGAAGTCCTGCAGCAAAGAACACTTCAACTTCATTTTAGTTCAGTGCTCCCTAAATTTATTTGACCACAGAATTTTTTTTTTTTTTTTCCTGAATAACGTGTTGACATCTTGAAGAACTAATATTCTCTGAGAACCAATTTGGAAAATACTGCTTCTCTGCTTATTTCTGCCTTTCTCCTGAAATGGAATTATCCCTGAAAATAGCTAAGCCTAATAATCACGAATTGATAAATTTATTTAAGAAGAAAAAAGAACGTAACTGAGAGCAAAATTTAAAGCAATACAGAGAGTTACAATTGTGTGCCTTTTTCACTGGCATTCTCTGTCATCGACCTTAATCTAACCGTCCCTCCTCCCATTCCACTTGCTGCTCATCCCATTGCACCCTTGGACCCACAGGTTCGCGACCAGGAGATGCCCATCAAGAGGAACTTTGTGTGGGTGTCCATTCATGTGGAGGATGGAAACCTCCACCCTCCTCGCTTCACCCAGCTCCACTATGAGATGAGTGTTTCTGACACCACAGCCCCCGGAACAGAGCTGCTCCAGATCCGAGCCATGGATGGTGACCGGGGAGCCAATGCTGAGGTCCACTACTCCCTCCTCAAAGGTGAGAGGCCTGAGTTCGGGACATGAAGGGAGGGACTTTGTCAGTAAGGGAAAGCACCAGAGCCATGGACTTGCAAGTTATTCAAGTGCCAAGCTCGCTAAGCTTTGGCAAATTATCATTCTAAAGCACTCCCTGGGACTATAGTGACCTAAGTTAATGCACTTTCAAAGGTGGAAAGAACAGTAACAAAGGATTACTCAAGTTATGGGAGAATTTACATAGAGAATACATATATATTCACCAACAACCACACATGTAAAGGATGATTATGAAGTCCATGCAACATTTAAAAAGATAATATCTTTGTGTATGTACAATAAAAGGGACCTATAAATACTTGATAAGATATACGGCATAGTTTTAGGAGTATTTTCTTCTAAGGCCACATCATGATCTCATATCTATTATATTGTTTTTTATCTTAAAAATAGGAATATTACCTGTGCCAGAAACTCGTTGTAAAGATTAAAAGAGAAAATGTATGTTAACACATGCTGTAAACTGTAAAATATTATACAAGTGCCAGGGGTTATTACTATCATTGATAAGTGTTAATTATAAGTAGTTAATAGGACAAAAATGATAATATCCACTACCCAACTAAAAATGATAATATCCAGTACCCAACTAATTAATCACAGTTAGATTAAGGTCGATGACAGAGAACGCCAGTGAAAAATACACACAATTGTAACTCTCTGTATTCCTTTAAATTTTGCTCTCAGTTATGTAATATCTGATAATTCATAACTGATATTTAATAATTATGGTTATCTTTAATATTCATTAATACTTCATAGAGCTAGCTGCTGCAGACAATCAAAGATGAGAGTGACTTGCTCTCTGCCCTAAAGGGGCATAATAATGTTCATTTATTGCTTGTCAGTATCTTACATACTTTAAGGATTCAGAACTTTCTTTTTTTGAAGAAACGGAAGTTGTTATACACTGTCATACGGCAGAAATCTATTCATCCCTGAGGAATAATAATACAAATTATAACCCATTAATTGCTTACTTTTTGTGACTTATGAAGTATAATCACATCTTTTATCTCACTGACAACCCCATTGATATTGGTATTAATTTTATTTTACAGATAGGGTTAGTTTTCAAATATTCTTCTGATTATAGAAATAACACATTCTGATTCTTTAAAACCTGGAAAAACCAGGAATGTATGAAGAAGGAAATAACATTCAGCCGTGGTTCTCATGACCTAGAGAAAATAATTTCATGTATTTCCCTCTTATTTTTTTCTATGCATCATTCTGCAGTGGTAAGATCAAAATGAATATACGATTTTGTTCTCTAATTTTTTCTCTCAGCAGTAAAATAAAATATTATGATTATGTTAAATAGTTTACTTGGCCACTTTTAACGGAACTACTTTTAAATTGCTGTTTACTCATTAAAACCATGTTCTTTGACCGAACTTAGGGTTTGTATCACAAAGGCAAATTGGGAAATCACCTCACTAGTCAGCTGGAAAAAGGCTTCCATGAGTGGGAGAATCAGATGGAAGGTTTTGTGGTAAAGCCTGGCTATTTACTTTGCCACTGGAATAATTAAAATATCTTAAAATATGATAAATGAAATAAGAATAGTAATAAGCAGTACTCCTCTGAGTGAAGGACCTGTACCCCTGAGCAAAATTACTCAGGTGTACGTCATGGTATTAAATAGGTGATGGTCTCATCACAAAAAAAAAATGTATCTGTAACTATGTCAAGTGACGGATGTTAACTAAATTTATTGTGATAGTCATTTCACAATATATACTTATACATATATCAAATTATGTTGTACACCTTTAATGCGATGTTATATGTCAATTATATCTCAATAAAACTGGAAAGAACTACCAGTTATGCAAGCTGAATACGTTCTAGAGATCTCCGTATGACATTGTGCTTAGAGTTAACAATACTGTACTATAACCTCTAAAAATTCAAGAGGGTAAAATCTCATGTTACCTGTTCTTACCACAGTATTAAAAAAGGAAAGGAAAAAAAGGATAGCTGCAGTCCAAGTAAGGTCAGACTCTAAAAACTGTGATAACTTTGAGAATTTTTTTTTAGGAAAATATGATTAGTTTTCAACATTATCTTTTGTGAACTATGTAATGTCACATAATCACAACTTTCCTCAAAACTTAAATTTGAAATGGTATTATGTATTTATCTAAATAAACATTAAATTTTAAAAGGATTACAAAAATGATAGGTAATCAGACATGGAGAAATTACTCCATTTTCAGTTCTCATTTGGGCTTCCTCATAAGTCAAGGAAGACTCCTTTGGGTACTAGAATCTCTTCAGTTCTCTAATACTTGCTACTCTTCACCAAAGAAAGCCTGTAGTTCTCAGGCCCAGACCCTTTTAGCAAGCAATAGATTTTATCCAGATTTTAAGAAAATATTTTCCATTGACTGGTTTTTACGGTAACCTCTGATTTATGACAAGCAATAACGGCTTTCTTTTTAAAGTATCAATATAAAGTTTCCTGTTAAAAATATTTTAAATTTAAAAAATAAACCAATTTAAAGGAAAATATCCATTAAATAATGACATAAATCATATGCTATACTATTGTATAGGTAGTGGCTGAATATTAAAAAAAAATTGTAAAGGCGGTGTGAGAATGCCTGAAGTTTAGGAAATCCAGGTGTGGTGGAAAGGGCATTTGATCAGGAGCCTCAAGATCTGTGTGTGCTATCCAGTCCCTCCCCACTCAACCCGTTGCCACTCACTCCCAAGCCTGACAATGGACTTTCTCACAATAGACTATACGAGGACTAGACGAGGTGGTTTTTCCAGTCCGTATCAGTTTTGACAATTTATGACTCCATATTTACAATTTTCATCTATCAAGTATATAATCAAAGCTATTACAAGTTATGTAAAGAATGCGTTAAAATTCTAAATAACGTAAATGAAGTTTGTCCTGTAAAAGTCAACACCGAAATACAGAGTGGAGTGTGCTTTTCCTACAAAGTATGTCTCCTTTCTTTGCTCCAAAAACCTACTACTGCTTTAGTTTATAGCTTAAGTTGCAGCCCGAACACTTAGTGATCATTGAAGCTTCCATTTATGGAGCACCTAATATGAGCACCTCATAAGGAATTTCGTAAAGTATACATCTACCCTACACATTATATCATAATTAAATCCAGGGTGGTGCAGGATGTGGATTTTGCCCAGTCCAACTTTTGTGTGATTGCCTTTTACTGATCTAGAAAGCCTAGTTGGTACCTCTTGAGGGTGTGGTAAACTTCAATTTATCTTGTCTTTTGTTTCAGGAAACAGCGAAGGTTTCTTCAACATCAATGCCCTACTAGGCATCATAACTCTAGCACAGACACTTGATCAGGCAAATCATGCCCAGTATACTCTGACAGTGAAGGCAGAAGATCAAGGCTCCCCACAATGGCATGACCTGGCTACAGTAATCATTCATGTGTACCCCTCAGATAGCAGTGCCCCCATCTTTTCAAACTCCGAGTACTTTGTAGAGATCCCTGAATCAATCCCTGTTGGTTCCCCAATCCTCCTTATCTCAGCTACAAGCTCCTCAGAAGTTACCTATGAGTTAAGAGAAGGAAACAAGAACGGTGTATTTTCCATGAACTCATATTCTGGACTCATTTCTACCCAGAAGAACTTGGACCATGAGAAAATTTCATCTTACCAGCTGAAAATCCGAGGCAGCAATATGGCGGGTGCATTTACTGACGTCATGGTTCTTGTTTATATCATTGACGAAAATGACAATGCTCCCATGTTCTCAAAGTTGACTTTTGTGGGCCAAATTAGTGAAGCAGCTGCACTGAACAGCATGATAGTGGATGAAAACAACAACCCCCTTGTGATCCGTGCCTCTGACGGTGACAAAGAAGCTAATTCCTTGTTGGTCTATAAAATTTTGGAGCCAGAAGCTCTGAAGTTTTTAAAAATCGATCCCAGCATGGGAACCCTAACCACTGTATTAGAGATGGATTACGAGAGCATGCCCTCTTTCCAATTCAACATCTACGTCCATGACCAAGGAAGCCCTGTCTTATTTGCACCCACGGCTGCCCAGGTCACAATCAATGTCAGAAATATAAATGACTGTCCCCCCAGGTTCTCAGACCAGATATATGAAGTAGCAGTACTGAAGCCCATCCACCGGGGTATGGAGCTCCTCATGGTGCAGGCCAGTGACGATGACTCAGAAGTCAATTATAGCATCAAAACTGGCAATGCTGATGAAGCTGTTGCCATCCATCCCATTACTGGTCGCATATCTGTGTTGAATCCTGCTTTGCTGGGACTCTCTCGGGAGCTCATCATCAAGGCTTCTGATGGCCTGTATCAAGATACGGCACTAGTAAAAATTTCTTTGACGCAAGCCCTTAACACAAGCTTACAGTTTGACCAGGATGTCTACAGGGCAACAGTGAAGGAGAATTTGCTGGATAGAAAGGCACTGGTGATTCTTGGTGCCCAGGGCAATTGTTTGAATGACACCCTATCTTACTTTCTCTTGAATGGCACAGATATATTTCATATGGTCAAATCAGTAGGCGTGTTGCAGACAAGAGGTGTGGCATTTGACAGAGAACAGCAGGACACTCACGAGGTGGCGGTGGAATTGAGGGACAGTCGGACACCTCAGCGGGTGGCTCAGGCTCTGGTCCAAGTCTCTGTTGAGGATGTCAATGACAATAGCCCTGAATTTAAACATCTGCCCCACCACACAATCATCCAAGATGGCACAGAGCCAGGGGACGTCCTCTTTCAGGTATCTGCCACTGACCAGGACTTGGGGGTGAATGGTGCTGTCACATATGCATTTGCAGAAGATTACAGATATTTTCGAATCGACCCCTATCTTGGGGACATATCATTAAAGAAACCCTTTGATTATCAAGCTCTAAATAAGTATCACCTCAAAGTCATTGCTCGAGATGGAGGAACCCCATCCCTCCAGACTGAGGAAGAGGTACTTGTCATTGTGAGAAATAAATCCAACCCCCTGTTTCAGAGTCCTTACTACAAAGTCAGAGTGCCTGAAAATATCACACTCTATACCCCAATTCTCCACACCCAGGCCCGGAGTCCAGAGGGACTCCGGCTCATCTACAACATTGTGGAGGAAGAGCCCTTGATGCTGTTCACCACTGACTTTAAGACTGGTGTCCTAACAGTGACAGGCCCTTTGGACTATGAGTCTAAGACCAAACATGTGTTCACAGTCAGAGCCACAGACACAGCTCTGGGGTCATTTTCTGAGGCCACGGTAGAAGTCCTGGTGGAGGACGTCAATGATAATCCTCCCACTTTCTCTCAATTGGTCTACACTACTTCAATCTCAGAAGGTTTGCCTGCTCAGACTCCTGTGATCCAACTGTTGGCTTCTGACCAGGATTCAGGGAAGAACTGTGATGTGTCTTACCAGATTGTAGAGGATGGCTCGGATGTTTCCAAATTCTTCCAGATCAATGGGAGCACGGGGGAGATGTCCACAGTTCAAGAGCTGGATTATGAAGCCCAACAACACTTTAATGTGAAGGTCAGGGCCATGGATAGAGGAGACCCCCCACTAACTGGCGAAACCCTTGTGGTTGTCAATGTGTCTGACATCAATGACAACCCCCCAGAGTTCAGGCAACCTCAGTATGAAGCCAATGTCAGTGAGCTAGCAACCTGTGGACACCTGGTTCTCAAAGTCCAAGCTCTTGACCCTGACAGCAGGGACGCCTCCCGCCTGGAGTACCTGATTCTTTCTGGCAACCAGGACAGGCACTTCTCCATTAACAGTTCATCGGGCATAATATCTATGTTCAACCTTTGCAAAAAGCACTTGTATTCTTCTTACAATCTGAGGGTAGGTGCTTCTGATGGGGTCTTCCGAGCAACTGTGCCTGTGTATATCAATACTACAAATGCCAACAAGTACAGCCCAGAGTTCCAGCAGCATGTTTATGAGGCAGAATTAGCTGAGAATGCAAAGGTGGGAACCAAGGTGATTGAGTTGTTAGCCATAGACAAAGATAGTGGTCCCTATGGCACTGTAGATTACACCATCATCAATAAACTAGCAGGTGAGAAGTTCTCCATAAACCCCAGTGGCCAGATCACCACTCTGCAGAAATTGGATCGGGAAAATTCCACAGAAAGAGTCATTGCTATTAAGGTCATGGCTCAGGATGGAGGAGGACGAGTGGCCTTCTGCACTGTGAAGATCATTCTCACGGATGAAAATGACAACCCCCCACGGTTCAAAGCATCTGAGTACACTGTATCCATTCAATCCAACGTCAGTAAAGACTCCCCAGTCATCCAGGTGCTGGCCTATGATGCAGACGAAGGTCAGAATGCAGATGTCACCTACTCAGTGGACTCAGTGGAGGACTTGGAAGAAGAGGTCATTGAAGTAAACCCAACCACTGGTGTGGTCAAGGTGAAAGAGAGCCTGGTGGGATTGGAAAATCGGGCCTTTGACTTAAAAATCAAAGCCCAAGATGGGGGCCCTCCTCACTGGAACTCTCTCATGCTGTTACGACTTCAGGTGGTTCCTAATGAAGTATCCTTGCCCAAATTTTCTGAACCTCTATATACTTTTTCTGCATCGGAGGATCTTCCAGAAGGGTCTGAAATTGGTTCTGTTAAAGCAGTGGCAGCCCAAGACCCAGTCATCTATAGTCTAGTGCAGGGCACCACACCAGAGAGCAACAAGGATGGCATCTTTTCCTTGGACCAAGACACAGGGGTTCTAAAGGTGAGGAAGGCCATGGATTATGAGTCCACCAAATGGTACCAGATTGATTTGATGGCACATTGCCCCCATAATGACACTTACTTGGGTTCCTTGGTCTCTGTCAACATCCAAGTGAAGGATGTCAATGACAACAGGCCTGTATTTGAGGCTGACCCATATAAGGCTGTTCTCACTGAGAATATGCCAGTGGGGACCTCAGTCATTCAAGTGACTGCCAATGATCAGGACACTGGGAATGATGGCCAGGTGAGCTATAGGCTGCCAGTGGACCCTGGCAGCAATATCCATGAGCTCTTCGCCATTGACAGTGAAACTGGCTGGATCACCACACTCCAGGAACTTGACTGTGAGACCAGCCAGATCTACCACTTTTATGTGGTGGCCTATGACCATGGCCGGACCATCCAGCTATCTTCTCAGGTCCTGGTCGAAGTCTCCATTACAGATGAGAATGACAACGCCCCCCGATTTGCTTCTGAAGACTACAGAGGATCTGTGGTTGAGAACAGCGAACCTGGTGAACCTGTGGCCACTCTTAAAACTTTGGATGCTGATATATCTGAGCAGAACAGACAGGTCACCTGCTATATCACAGGTAAGTATACCTATCTTGGAACAGAGGCACTGGGGTGCGTTGAAAAAAGTCCAATAAGAGGTTCCCTAAGACATGGCTCTGCCACTCATTAGCAATGTGACCTTGGGTAAATCACTTAACCTCCCAAGACCTCAACTGCTCCATCTATAGTCTTGCCATGCCCGTTCCCATTCAACTCACAGGGATGCTTGTAAGATCTAACTTGAAAAAGCTTTGAGAGCCCCTATACATTACAAAGTGCATTGTAAAGAGGATTTCTTACTACCTTAGATGGAGTAGATAGACTAGAAGTGAGATACTGCAACTGTTCTCAGTTAGCTTCTGGGAGACAGAGAGAGAGTCAACAGTTGTGTGGTCCATGAAAACTCTGTGAGGTGACTGTCCTTGTAGAGTAGTATTCTGCCTAGGGCAAGTTGTCAATAGTAGAAAATGCTGCCTAGTCAACCACAGGACCTAAGTGTTGGAGCAAAAACACTTTCTTGGATATGATTCCAGCCCAATCCCCTCATTTCATACGTGGGAGAACCAAAGCCCAGACAGGGGAAGAAACTCAAGCAAGGTCACACTCCAAGCTTGCATCAGGGCTGGGATTAAAACCATACCCTACAAACTGCTTTCCCCAGTGGATACCTATTGTAAACCTACATTTCCCCAATCTCTGCCCAGTGGCTAAATGAGCCAATCAGTGGCTAAAAGAGAGTTTCTTTACTTCTCAGTGTCCCTTTCCCCATCTCCCAGGTACCATGTCATTCCATTCCCATAGTCATGGTTTCTTCTGCTATCACAGCTGTCTGGTGGAGAGTTAATGAGCCTAAAGTTCCAACCAAGAATCATAGACTCCTGGAGACAGATCCTGGAGCAGAGCTGTTTGAAATACAGAGTCTTAGTGAAATAGAATCTTGTCATCTTGTAATATCAGACTCTTAAAAACACAAAAGTCTTAAAACCTCTGAATAATAAATGTCAATATATCATCAACTCTTGGAATAGTTTAATCTGAGGACTCTGGCATCTTAGAATCTCAAAAACCCATCTCTCCTCTCAGTGACTGGTATCAAGGAAAGATAACTCAGAAGCAAATCTAGCGATCCATCTGAACCTCCACTTAGCCTGTGTCCTCAGTCATAAAATAAAGCCTCAGAGAGTGTACTTATTTACTTTATTTATTTTTGGCTGCATTGGGTCTTCGTTGCTCTGTGCGGGCTTTCTCTAGTTGTGGCGAGTGGGGGCTACTCTTCATTGCGGTGCACAGGCTTCAGTAGTTGTGACACATGGGCGCAGTAGTTACGGCACATGGGCTTAGTTGCTCCACAGCGTGTGGGATCTTCCTGGACCAGGGCTTGAACCTGTGTCCCCTGCATTGGCAAGTGGATTCTTAACCACCGCACCACCAAGGAAGCCCCCGAAGAGAGTTTTTACTGATCACTTCCCACCCCTCCACTGTTGAACAGATACTAGCTACTAAAAGGTTCTTTCCTAGAATTGCAGTCTGCTTCCCTTTAACTTCCTCCGATGCCTTCCAATGCACAAAAATTAAAAACCTGCCCTTCAGCCGCATATTCTGGAGCAGTGTTTCTTGAAGTGATAATTCCATTTAACGGAGGCCTTTGAAGTTGGTAGAGGCTTCATAACACCAGATAAACTGACTCATTGCAGAATTATGGGTCCTTAGCTAAGGGAGGAAGTTTTTGCCTTTCCCAACAATCCTAAAAAAGAGTGTCAGGTGGGCAGCCACATAGGGCACAAAGCCTGGTTTGCTTCTGTTGCTTGGATTCAGGAAACTCTGTCCCATCTTTTTAGAGGGAGACCCCCTGGGCCAGTTTGGCATCAGCCAAGTTGGAGATGAGTGGAGGATTTTCTCGAGGAAGACCCTGGACCGTGAGCACATGGACAAGTACTTGCTCCGAATCACAGCTTCCGATGGCAAGTTCCAGGCTTCAGTCTTCGTGGAGATCTTTGTCCTGGACATCAATGATAACAGCCCGCAGTGCTCAGAGGTGAGAGCCTGGTGAGGGTGGGGGAGGAGTAGAGGCAAGGAAGCTGGAGTGAAGGGCAAGAGGAAGGAAGGACTCAGGGTACCATCTCTGGGACTGGACATCGTTGACCACACTTGCCCTTGCTTCTCCTTGGCTGGCCTCAGACTAGTGCCCTAGGCAAGGGCGATTCTAGGTGATTCCTCCCGCCCCCTCCAAAGGGATGTCACCAAGCTCTTTAGGACCCATGGTCCATACCTCTTCCCCTACACTCCATAAAAATATCCTTTTCTCTGTAAAACATATCCAGAAGTAAAGTAAATTCTTCATTCTCCAAACAGCCTGCTATGCCCAGTGGGAAAGCCCCTCCACTGCTCAGTTTGTTAGCATGGCTCATTGTTTTCAAATACATCCAAAGAGACCTTCCCCCGAGACACCCCACACCACTCGCCATGCCTATATGGGCCTATCCCTACATATGAATAGGTTATACAGAGCAACAGAGACCCTACTCCAGGTTATATGTATAAACAAACATGCAGACAGGGCAGTTACACTTTTGATAAGGGAGACTTTCCTGAGGACTTCATGTAATTCAACACTAAATTGCCCAAGGAAAATGTTGACTGGTGTGTGTGTGTGTGTGTGTGTGTGTGTGTGCGTGCACACGCATGCACATGCATAAGGAGAGGAACTGCATTCTTAGAGGGCATAAATCAACAACCACTGTCATGTAGCATTGCTTTTAAACATATTTTTTTAAACACAGTAAATAATTTTTAACTTTGGGGAGATTTGCATTACTTCAAAGTTTGCAGATAAAGTTAAACTATTAACATTTAAGTTTTATAACATCAAATTAGCATAATTCAAATTTATATAAAATCCAGCTATTCAGTATATATACATAAATGCAAACTTATACGTAGGTACTCACACACACGCATAGTCAAAGGATCATGTACAACTCTCTATAAATATGCAAATACCTATATATATATATATATATATATATATATATATATACACAAAGATACACATAAGCATACACCTACATACCCACAACATTCATCCATAAGTATACCCATCCATATACACAAATGTACATCACACATACTTACGTATGCATGTGAATATATATATACTTCAATTCTTCATACTTTATTTGTCCACACACATATATATGGACACACACCTTGGAACACACAAAAATCATATATCCTATCACCTTCTCTTCCACTGTCTTCCACTCTCCGACCTTACAGAAGCAGAGTAGAAAAAGAGAACCTGGGCTATCAAGTGGGGTGCATGGAAAAAAGTCTTTGCAGGATCCAAGATGACCACTTTTTGGGTGGTCTCAGAAGGGCAGCCTTTTGGGGGAGAATGGTAGCCAGACCTTCCTCTTCTTTCCCCTCAGCATCCTGCCTACCAGCCTGCACCCTCCCCATGCTGGAAGAGGCTGGGGCCAAGTTCACCCTGGCCTTCTCAGAGGTGGTCAATAGCATCCCCAGAGCCAGGGAAAGGAGGCCTGGGGGCTGTCTCCACACAGCCCCTCAGGCACAAAGCCCCCACTGGAGCACGTACAGGTGTCCATGTTCACCCACACCATGCAGTGGGGGGACCGGTTTGCTTGGAAACTGTGCCCAGAGCCAGCAGCTGGAAGAGCACTGGGTTCTCTCCCTGTGCCACCCCTTCTACAATGTGGCCCCTGTGGAGTAACAGATTGCGGCAGGTCCTTCTAGCCCTGAGTGTGAGCTTTCAGATGATGGAAATTCCCTCTCATTCTTTGCTTTTCTGACTATGTCTCTTGTCATCATTCTCCTTGTTTTTAGTCTCCATTTTCCTTGCACGTTCCGTCTTATTCTGTTCTCTTCCCTCCCTCTCTCTGCTTCTCTCCCCTACCCCCTTCCATCTCTGCTCTCTAATCGCTCTCTCTGCTTCCGTCTCCCTCTCTGTCACTCTGCCTCTCTCTGAATCTCAGCGCATCTCCCATAATCCCCCTCTTCTTTGTCTTCTATCTCCAGCTTCTCTACACTGGCAAAGTCAGTGAAGATGTACCTCTAGGACACTTCATTTTGAAAGTTTCTGCAACAGACTTGGACTCCGATACCAATGCTCAGATCACATATTCACTGCATGGTCCTGGGGCAGATGAATTCAAGCTGGATCCTCATACAGGTAGGTTTCCTGAGCTGCAGGATCAAGCAAAGAATTTATACACTGAATAACCAGGGCCCAGTACCCAGGCTCCTTAGAAAAGAAACAGGAATTTACTTATCCATCCATCCATCCATCCGCTCAGCAAACATATATTGGCACTGTGTGTCGAGCATTCACTAGATGCTAAGGACATAAACTGATAAGACAAGATGTAGGTTTTTACAGTCCACTGGGAAAGGCAGTCATTGAATCAGTGGTTTGACGTGTGCTAAGAAAAAATGCAGGATGCTAGGGGAGGTTTGACAGGAGGACTTAAATCTGGGATCAGGGTTAAGTAAAACTTCTCTGAGGAAATGTAGCCAGGGGGTAAGGGAGTAGTAGGGATGGATATTCAAGGCAGAAGGAGATTTTATACGAGGACCTTGTTTTGGGAAAGAGCACGCACATCTGAGGACTTGAGAGACAGCCAGAAATTGGTGCACAGAAGTGGGGGAGGGAGAGAGAGCAAAGGATGAGGCCCTCTGAGCAGGGGGGCCAAATCCCACCTTTAGAGCCATTAAAGGATTCAAGCAGGTGAGAGTCATGGTCAAAGACATGATCTCAAGATAGTATGCTGCAGATGGAGATAAAATCTCATAGCATTGTTGCAAGGATCCCAACAAATAAAGTATAGAAATTTAGCCCAGGTCTGGCACATAATAAGAATTCAGTAGATATGGTTTCTATTGTCAATTATTATCAGTTAGGGGACAAAGCGGAGAGTGGGAAACAGAGAGCCCTGCAGAATAGACCACGAATACTTGGGAGAGGCTGGCCTGTGAGCATCTGGCGGAGAAGACAGGGTAGAGACTGCTTCCTTTAGAAAAGGAGGGATCCCTGTCCTGCTGCTATAAGGGTGTGGAGACGGACAGCACAGAAGGCCCAGGTGACAGAGAGCCAGCTGCTGACACTTGACTTGGGATCAGTAGCTCAAAGGATGCCTTGGAGATTCCTGAGCAGGGAGGTGGCAGGTGAGAGCTGGTATCCCAGAAAGCTGTCTGGATAGAAGGAGACAGCATTGGGACTTCCTTGGTGGTGCAGTGGTTAAGAATCCACCTGCCAATGCAGGTGACACGGGTTCGAGCCCTGGTCCGGGAAGATCCCACATGCCACGGAGCAACTAAGCCTGGGCGCCACAACTACTGAGCCTGCGCTCTAGAGCCCCCGAGCCACAACTACTGAAGCCCATGCACCTAGAGCCCGTGCTCCGCAACAAGAGAAGCCACTGCAGTGAGAAGCCCACGCACCGCAATGAAGACTAGCACCTGCTCGACGCAACTAGAGAAAGCCCGCACGCAGCAACGGAGACCCAACGCAGCCATAAATAAAAAAATAAATAAAACAAATAAAAAGGAGACAGCATTACCCTGTCTGACCCCAGCATGGGCATGCTGAGTCACCCCAAGTAGGTGACCTAATCTCTGTTGCTGTTTGTCCAGCTGCAGGATGATCGGTGGGGTCTTAAAAAAAAAAAAAAAAAACTCGGCGGTTTTTCTGAGTATAGAAATAATACATGCTCATTATTCAAAAATTCAAACCACGTAGGCATGTATTATGCGGAAATTGGAAAGTCTTCATGATAACCAGCCTCTCCCCCAAAGATAAGCACTCTTGGTATATATTCTGTCAGACCGCTTTTCCATGCATCCCCCACATCTCTATGTAGCATACTACGCTGTGACTTTTTTCTCATAGCAATACCTTGGCGCTATTAACAAGGCAGTGCATAAAGCTCTATCATAATTCCTTTTCTGTTGCATAGTATTTTACTATATGGCTAAATGATAATATATTTAACCAGTACCTTTTTGAAAGACACAGGATATTTTCAGTATGTTGCTATTTATAAAGAATGCAGAGAATATCTCTATATGTATATTTTATCCTTGGGTTGATTATTCTATAGGGTACATTCCTAGAAGTAAAACTGCAGGCCAAAGGATAAACCCATTTTATGTGCTGTTAGAAATTGCTTAACTGGCCTTTTAAAATGTTGTGCCTCTTTGTAGCTTGTTGGTGTGGGTCTTAAACTGGGGATGTGGTGGTGGAATGTGACTAGGGAGGCAAGCAGGTGTGGGAAGCTACAAGACTGAACCCCTTTCCTAACCATTTGTACACAGGACTGACCCCTTTTCTCTGTGACAGCACACTGCACGGCTGCGTTTGTCTCACATAGACATCAGGAAGTCACATGCTGGGGTCGTGGCCCCCAGAGAAAGCTCACTTGCTGTCCTTTCTCCGGCCAGGGGAGCTGACCACACTCACAGCCTTAGACCGAGAGAAGAAGGATGCATACAGCCTTGTTGCCAAGGCGACGGATGGAGGCGGCCAATCGTGCCAGGCAGATGTGACCCTTCACGTGGAGGATGTGAATGACAACGCCCCCCGGTTCTTCCCCAGCCACTGTGCTGTGGCAGTCTTCGACAACACCACAGTGAAGACCCCCGTTGCGGTGGTATTGGCCCGGGACCCTGACCAAGGTGAGAAAGAGAAGGATTGGAGGCCATTTGCTTACAGGGTCATCCTGGGCGAGGGTCTGGCTTTCTCTGTGTTGCTCTGAGACTGGCAATATCTCACTGCTGAGCCTACAGACACGTACAAGTAGAAAATGTCCACAAACTGCATACCTAAGTGCTAGGTACGAAAGATTTTGGCAGTGTTTCAAAGCTGGTATGGGGCATTTCAGCCTCATTGTTTCTCACTGCCACTTAGACCTGGAGCCCTTTCAATCCCACCATTTAACCTCAAGAACATTTGAATACAAACATTTAATGTGAAATACACCAATCAGAATTATTCAACTCTGATTAATTGGCCACCAGAAAGAAACTTAGGGCACAAACTCCATTAAGTCTATCAAATTCTTGGATCAATTTTCTAGGCAATGAAGTGGAATATTTTACATTTTATTTTGCATTTTAATTTTAATGACATTGTTTTCATTAGGGTTAATTCTTTTCCTTTTACTATTTACAAGGCAAATTGGATTCATCCAGGAGTCTTCATTCCATATTATACCAATTATAGCTTCTGACATCATGAAGTGTTTCATTGTGGAGATCTCTATATCTATAGATATATGTATATATATATATATATATATATACATGTTTATATATATATATATATATATATATACACACATATACGTGTGTGTGTGTATATATATATATATATACACACATCCAATTTTCTTGAATTAAATTTTATTATTTAGGTGGGGTAAAAAAATACCCTCAGGGTCAAAGTTGCCAGAGGAACATAGGATATGACAATGATGAAGATGATGATGGTGATAAAAGAGGGATCAAAACACCCTGCTTTGTTTGACACCAACAGAGTAAATTTAAGACTTCTTAGAGGAAGTGAGTTTTAGGTTGGCATTGAGGAAGGTGAGAGATTTTGGAGGAATGCAGGGGTCCTAGGGAGGGCAAATAGCAGTGCAAAGGCATCTAATATCTAAGGCCCTGCAAATGCTCGATTAGCCAGTGCTTGCACACCTCCAGAGACAGGAAGCTCCCTACTTCCTAGGCAGCCCCTTCCTTCCATGGTACCTCAGATAATTATCAAGTGTTACCTTTTTGGAGCAGACATCTGTCAATCACGGTCCTGCCCTCTGCAGCCACACAGATCTCCCAGACCCTCGCCCATGACAGCCCTTCAGACACTAGGAGGCGGTGACTATCTGCTCCAGCCTCAAGGTTCCCTTTCTGAGTAGAAGGGCCCTAGTTTCTTCAATCTCGTGTTTCCAATCCCACCTCTCTTCTAAGATTCGTCCTCTGGCCTTGCACCAATGAACCATTAACACTTCAAAGTTGTTATTATTATTCTAACCCAAATATTCCACCTCAATATTCCAAATATAGCCTGACCAGCAACTCTCTCTCTCCAAAAATTCATACATAGGAGAATGTGCATGGTATGCACATTTATTTCATGTAAATTCAATGAAAGGGCTGTGTGTCCCCACGTGTGTATAAGACTCAATCCCTATAGGCTCAGAGCCTATGCTTTTCCCACTGGGTAAGGCTCTCATGGCTGAGCACCAAATGTTGGTGTTCTTCAGACCCTATGGTCCCTACATGAGCCAACTGCTTCAGCTGGTCCACAACCAAAGGAAATAATAGCACCTGAGTCAGAGCTGGAAAAACACTACATGCTTTGATTTACTAAGAACTTTCTGTGGGTGTGTGTTTTTTTGTTTGTTTGTTTTGGTTTATTTTGACATAATTATAGACTCATAGGAAGTTGCAAAAATAGTACTGAGAGGCCCAGCACCCTTCACCCAGCTTCCCCCAACGGCAGCATCTGCAGTATGATATCAAAGCCAGGAAACTGGCCCTGGGACATTACTGGTAATTGGACTCCAGTCTTATTCAGATTTCATAGTTTCTATATGCACGTATTTGAATATGTATGCAAACAGCACCACAATCAAGATACAGGATTGTTCTATCACAACCAAAGAACTCACTATGGGTGCTTTTGATCTTGCACACTTTTTATTTTGTGAGCTTCCACTGGACCCTAACCTCCACATAAACAGCTTCAGATGTCCTTAAGGGTTTGCAGAACCCTCCCCTTCATAAGAACCTTTCTATGAGGCCTTGAACCCCTCCCTAGTCAAGAACCCTCACGTGAAAGTCTCACTGCTAACAGCCCAAGCATGTTAGCATTTATGGGGACCCTGCTGGCTAGGCCCTCCTCTGGCTGAAAGCTCTGCGGCAGGCAGGGCCAGAGGAGGGTCCCTCTGCATGAATCACACGCTCTGTCTCCCCGCACAGGCACCAATGCCCAGGTGGTTTACTCTCTCACGGACTCCGCCGAAGGCCACTTTTCCATCGAGGCCACCACGGGCGTGATCCGCCTGGAGAAGCCACTGCGGGTCAGGCCACAGGCAGCACTGGAGCTCACTGTCCGTGCCTCTGACCTGGGCACCCCAATACCACTGTCCACACTGGGCACCGTCACCGTCTCCGTGGTGGGCCTGGATGACTACCTGCCCGTGTTCCTGAACACCGAGCACAGCGTGCAGGTGCCCGAGGACGCCCAGCGTGGCACGGAGGTTCTGCGGTTGGCCACCCTCACTCGCCCTGGCGCCGAGAAGACCAGCTACCGTGTGGTCAGCGGGAACGAGCAGGGGCGGTTCCGCCTGGATGCCCACACAGGTGAAGGAGCACCTCCCCTACACACACACACACACACACACACACACACACACACACACACACAGTCTTGGGGAACACTGGATTCCTCGCATACCATAGCCCCGCCCCAGCATCCTTCAGCCCCTTCTTCACTCTCCATCTCTCCAGGTACCAAGTCCCTTCTTGCAGAATGGGGTCAGCTTATATGGAAACATCCCTTATTCCACTACATCCCCACCAAAGACTCTGTTGAGGACTCTCTCCTCCCAGTTTGCAGTTTCATAGTCCTGGCTCACATCCAGCCCCAGGAGGCTGAAGCCACCCTCCATCCTTGGCTGCCAAGGCACGAAGAATCTTGCTAGAATCTGGGGCTTACGCAGCCCAAAGCAAGGCTGCCTGCTTCCCTCCTAAAGCCTTCCCGAAACATCCGGAGACCCCCGAATTTTCCCTTAGTCTCATAAAGAGAGAGAACTAGGAAACCGGCTCTCTTCTCTCCTCCTAGCCACAGAAGGATCTAAGTCAGACTCCCAGAATCCCATGGAAGGGAGGATTCAGAGGCTGCTCAGTTCCGACCAGGCTCCATGTGGATTCCTCACCACAACACCTCTGCAACGATGCGCTCTACCTCCTAAGGCATCCGCCTTACTGTTGAGCAGTATTTTTTTAGTTTTTATTACAGAGACTTTAAACATATAAAAAATAGAGGGAACAGTATAATGGACCCCATGTTCCCATCACCAAGCTTCAGTAATTATCAATATTTGTCTAGTCTGGTTTCATCTTTGCCCCCCATATCCACCTACTGCTGAGTTATTTTAAAGCAAATCCCAGACATGATACCATTTGGTTTGTAAATACTTTTGTGTGTATCTCTCTCTAAATGATAAGGACTCCTTGTATAAACACAACCATAATACCATTATCACACCCAAAAGATAATAATTCATTAATACAGTCCAATACCCAGCCAGACAAGTTTTCAGATTATCTCATAAATGTCTTTTAGAAGTTGATTTGCTTGTCAACATCCCCCAGATGTCCACATATTGCATCTGGTTGATAGGCAGTGTCTTAAGCATCTTTTAACCTCTAACACTTTCCTCTCCCTCTTTATTTCCTGCTGCTATTTATTTAATGAAATATTGGGGTCAGGTGTGAGGCAGGATTTTTAAAATAATTCTAGATTGGCTAGCTGTATCTTTATGGTGTCATATAACATATCTCTCTAGCCCCTATATTTATTATAAATGACATTTGGATCAAAGACCTTGATGCGGTTCAAGCTCAATTTTTTTGCCAACAAAGCTTCATAGATGATGCTGGGCTCTCCTTTGCACCACATGAGGAGGTACATAATGGTTGATTGGTTCCTTTTCTTGAGGTCACGATTGATGGTGGGTTCGGGGGTTGTCAGCCTGATCCATCCAGTTCTTTTTCTAATGGTTTTAACAGCCTTTAATGATTATTTCCCAGATATATTATTTCATTAGGGGCTGCAAAATGGTGATTTTTCTAACCTTATCATTCCTCATTCATTTACTAACTGGAATTATTTTATAAAGAAGAGTTTTCTACCATTAACTATTCAGTTATCCAGGAATGGCAGGATAAATCCTTGTTCTTTTATTTTCCAGTGTTCAGAATAATAAATCTCTGCCCTAATAATTTGTTAAACAGCTTTGGGTATTATAAAACTCTATAATCTAAGTTCTGTCATTTACTAGGTGACTGAGCTTGGGCAAGTCACGTAGATGTTAGGAGCGTCAGCTGACTTACCTAGAAAATGGAAATCACACTTGTTCCTGCTCTACAGGGTTATTACAGATCTACATGAGATAGAGTCAGTATTATAGAATTAAATGAGATTTCAATGAAATAATACAGAAATAAATGAGGGAAACACTGCTGTTGAGAATGGTAATAAGGAAAATGAGAGGAGATGGAGGGGAAGGGGAAGGCTATGGGAGAGAGAAAATGAAGAGGGAGGTGAGATGATGGAGGAGACGATGCAGGAGATCTGTCTCTCCCAACCCAGTTGAGTTGCTTCTCCCGGGGTTTGGCTCAAGATCCCCTCAGTACTCTGCCTTTGTGGTCCCAACTGCCTCAATGCTCCCATCACCTCTTGTTTCCTCAGGGATCCTGTACGTCAATAAGAGCCTGGACTTTGAGACAAGCCCCAAGTACTTCCTATCCATCGAGTGCAGCCGGAAGGGCTCCTCCTCCCTCAGTGACATGACCACAATCGTGGTCAATGTCACTGATGTCAACGAACACCGGCCCAGATTCTCCCAGGATCTGTACAGCACGAGGGTCTTAGAGAATGCCATCGTGGGTGATGTTGTGCTCACAGTAAGGATCTGCAATTTTGCCCTTTAGAGGGGCATGGACTCTGGGGTGGGTTCTTATCTCCCCCTCCCCCAGTCATCTATGAACATGGATTATTTTATCAATTAATACACTACAGACTTGACTCTGACTTGTAGCCACTCAACCAAACTCTCTCATGATAAAATTTCTCAGAGCCACGTTTGATAAGATCTAGATCAGGTACTGAAAGAATGGAGCATGGGAGAGGCCCCAGAGGATGGCCAGAGGGACACTGAGTGTCAGCGTGGGAGGGGAGGAAGAGAGGGGATACGTACAACACCTTTTTGCATTTAAACATGTAACTGCTCCCCACTTCATGGAGTGAAACCAAACTCTGTATGTCCACATTCGAGGTTCTCATCTCCTTCCATGCCCTGATATGCACCCTATGCTCCAGCCACACAGGAAGAGGTACCATTCCCCAAACATCCTCTGTACTTTCATACCTCTGGGCTCATATTGTTTCTTCTGCCTGGAATGCTGGCTCCACTCCCAGAAGCCGTCAAGGCTTCATGAATCCTCGTCTAATCTCCCCAGGTGAAATTTATCACCATAAAGTTGATCATACTTTGCCCCAAATTAGACTTGTCCATATAATTAGACATTAAGCTTCCTGAGGGCTTATTCATTTTGGCATATTCCTCAACTCCTAGCACAGGACCCTAGCACCCTGTCAGTTATGAGTGAATGAGTGAATGAATGAATGAATGGATAGATAAACGAATGAACCATGCACGCTGACATCCATACTAGGATGTAAATGAGGAGATTCCCTTGGCAAGGACGACTATGGTCCAGGGATTGCCAGCCCAAGGGCAGTCTATGGGGCAGGGACATATCTGTGCCCCCTACACTCCCAGGGGCCAAGATTCCTCTCTGTTCCTTCTTGCCTCCCCAATCACAACTGTCACCCGCCTCTATTGCAGGTGTCAGCGACTGACGAAGATGGACCCCTAAATAGTGCCATCACCTACAGCCTCATAGGAGGGAACCAGCTTGGGCACTTTGCCATCCACCCCAAGAAAGGGGAGCTACAGGTGGCCAAGGCCCTGGATTGGGAACAGGTGAATCATGTGGGAGGGGCCCAATCTGAGCTCATCAGAGCAGAATACAGCCCTGCTGCAGGTCCAGAGGGTGAAGTGCGTTCAACACCCCATCCTGACACTTCTCCAGACCTGCCCTCAGGGTCTCCCACTCCTTTTCTCTGTGGGTCCCCTGTGACCTGTGAGGCCAGCAGCAGGAGCGGGGCTGAGTAACCTTTAACCTTCCTGAAAGAGCTCAGGCCAGCTTCTCACTATTAACCAGGGATCATTAGATCATTACAACAAATTATCACTTGTTGAGCACCTGCTCTGTGCCAGGAACTTTGCTAACTGATGTACATACATTACGTCATTTGGTCCTTAAAGTAATCCTAGGAGGTAAGTCCTAATACTGTCCTCACATAAGTTTAGTCACTTTCCCAAGGTCTCACATCTAGTAAATGGTTAAATTGGAAGTCAAACCTACTTCTGACTGACTCTAGAACCTGAGCCCTAAAAGGCTATGGGAGAGTAATGCGGGCAGGCATAGGGAAGTGTCTCCATCTTATTTTTCTAAAAACATTAGTCATGAATCAGGGGGCAGAACTGAGTGGTCTTGTTGCTAACTCTCCCCTGGGAATCTTGCTGTAGATTTCTAGCTACTCCCTGATGCTCCGAGCCACAGACAGTGGGAAGCCCCCACTGCATGAGGACACAGACATCGCTATCCAAGTGGCTGATGTCAATGACAACCCACCAAGATTCTTCCAGCTCAACTACAGCACTTCCATCCAGGTATGCTCAAGCTTCCCAAAGCATCCTGAATCCATCTTCCCTTCATATCCCTCCTAGTGGAGGGCACTCACCACTGATACCAGTCCACCCAAACAGTGACTGTGACCTTGCATTGATATCCCTAATGGCAACACGGTCTGCTGAAGGGGATTATGGATTACACAATTAAAAATTATCAGGCACTGTGCTAGGCACGTCCACATCCATGATCTCATAGGGGACTCACACAGCCATATAGAAGTAGACAGTACCCATTTTATAGATTTTTTTAAATGGAGGTATAGAAATGTGCCACAGTCAAAATGTGGCAAATTTGGGATTTGATCCCAGAAGATCTTCCAGATCCCAAGCTATTTCCACCATACTAATGGTTTGTGAATGGGATTTGGAGAGAGTCTTAAGATTCCGTGTGGAATTGTGACCACAAGGGGTGAGGGAGATGAGGAAGTAGGTAAGAGGACAGAGTTCTGTGTCGCACTATGCATCAACCAGGGTCACGCCACTTTCACCTGTTTTGTATCATGAGTATGAGTTAGGATGCTTTGGCTGCAAATAACAGATCACCTGACTAAAAGCTTATTAAATAATAAGGCCTTATTATTTCACATAACAAAAGGTCTGCTAGTGGGAAATTCTATTCCAGAATTGGTTATTTCAGCAGGCAACTGATATCACAACTTTGGGTTACCTTCTTCAAAATTCCTGTACCTTCTCCCTCATGGCAACAAAATGGCTGCTGCAGCTCCAGCATCACATCCTTGCTAAACCATCTTCAAAGGCAAACAGATGGGGACTTCTTCTGCAGAATCTGTTTTTATCAAAGAAGAAGACTTTTCAGAACCCCCACCTGGTAGACTCCTCCAATGATCAGAAATGGATTACATGATCGCCCTTAAATCCAAAAACTGGCACAGGGACTCAGATTATTGTAACTGAAACCAATCATAGTCCATCTCCTCTTAGGAGGGGTATATCTTTGCTGAGGATATTGCCACCCAACACGTGAACAAAAGTCGGGTTTTGTAAGAAAGGAAGGAAAGAATGCCTGTTGGATAGGCAATTACCAGTTTCTGCTCATAAGATACTGTTTGTAGATAAGGTTTTGATAAAAAAGAGAGTTAACAACCACTGTGTTATAGCATACTGAATTCCCATGTTATAGAACAATGACTGGAACAATATCCAGGGGATCCATTTTTCTCTGTTAATTCCTAATCATCTTTGAATTTTCTCATTGGTCCTCTAATCAGAAAACCATTTATAGGTTTTCAATGGACTCTATGAATCACAAAATTCCCACATGGACCCCAGGCACTAATTTATATACATGAGTCATCAGCTATGTGACTTCGGCAAGTCACCTCTACAGGATAAAGGATAAAGGAGAAATACCCTTCCAGCCCCAATGGGCTTTGTTTCTAAAAACCAGCACTGCCCTCAGGAAGTTCAAAAGTCAACAACTAATTCACAGGTGGGCAGAATGAATGAATGACATCTCAAGATGCAGACATGACCTGGGAGCAGCCAGAGTGCTGAGGACTCATCCCAGAGAAGGGGACCTGGAAAGATGTGAAAGAAAGGACTGGGACTCATTTTGCTCTTTGATTTCCTCTCTCTCTTGGTCTCAGGAAAACTCCCCCATCGGCAGCAAAGTCCTGCAACTGATCCTGAGTGACCCGGACTCCCCAGAGAATGGTCCTCCCTACTCATTCCGAATCACCAAGGGGAACGATGGCTCTGCCTTCCGAGTGACCCCGGACGGATGGCTGGTGACCACTGCAGGCCTGAGCAAGAGAGTCCAGGAATGGTATCAGCTTCAGATCGAGGTGAGAGCTGTGCTGGGCCACTGGTGGTGACCATGGGGACAGAAAGTGTGCTGACAAAAGTACCACCAGTGCTTCTCTTATTAGAAAAAACAATATACAGAACTCTTCCTTTGTGCCAGGCACTAGCCTAAGTGCTTCACGGGCATCACTGCATTAAATCCCCACAACATGCTTTACAGTGAGTACGGTTATTACCCCCAGTTTCCAAATGAGGTAACTGAGGTACCCAGAGGTTAAGTTACTGGCTGAAAGTAATGCTACTAATAAGTGGTAGAGCTGGGCTGCTTCAAACCCAAGCATTCTGACTCCAAGCTCTTCATTCCTCCCCTGCTCCCAGACAGAACAAAAACTCCCGCACCCTGGCTCTAACTCCTTGAGTGTGGCCAGGACAGCTCTCTGAACCTCAAGTCTTTTAAAAGACCTACCTCAGAGAATTGGTGTTGTTATCGAACCAGGTTCAGTTTGTCCAACCGCGCAGCAAACTGAAATGCTGAGATGCCGAAGTCTGCAGTAAAGACAGGGTTTATTAGCAAGGAAGCCAACCAAGGAGATAGGAGAATAAGTCTCAGAACCGCCTCCCAAAAGGCAAGGGGCTTGGGGCATTTATGGAATAAAAAATAAAGGAGCAGGGCAGTCTGAGGCGTGGGGAGCATGGGGAAAGGTGACTGGAAAAAGGTGCAGTAATCATAGTTCTGCCGCAGGTGTAACTAAGCTACAGGTCTCTGCACGCTCAAAAATGGAGGCAGTTAGCACTATCTGAGGGTTTTCTGCCTTCTGACGTCAAGGTCACCAAGCAGACCCTTGGGCATGCCCAGTTAAAGGGTCGGCGGTCCTACCCAGTCTTAACCAGCTCAATTCCAACTAGTCACGGTTGACTCCAAGTCCTGGAAAATAACTCTGGCAAACATCTTATTGTTTAGGATATGTGCAGATGCAAGTCTTTAAATGACCTTGTTTAGTGAAGGCAGGTGAAATGAATTTGACTAATCCATGGATCCACTAATCCATGATTACCCACAGTTTCAGCGCAGGGGTCAAATGAGAGAACATATACATACATGGAGAGGATTACAGTGATACTATACGGGTTGTATGAGAACTGCCCAAGGAAAAGTGGCCAAGATGCTGATCAAACATTTCTCCCTCATTTCATTCCCCCAAATCCCTTTCCTAAATCTCAAATCTAGCGGATCCTACTATTCTGTGAACTTCTCTGGGCTCACAATGATGTAGTCATCCATTCAGCCAGCCAACCAGCCAGCCAGCCATTCATCATTCAACAAACATTTATGAGTACTTATCATATACTTAACATTTATGAGTACTTATCATATGGCATGCTACCTGCTAGTAATATAGCAGGGGAAAGAAGGGGATGATCCCCATCCCCATGGGCTTTTGATTCCAATTATGGAGATAAGCAATAAACAGATGAAGAAAGTGACAGGAGGCTCATAAGGCACAAGAGAGACACTTTCAGAGGGTGGCTGTCCTTGTGAGGAGGGGGCATTTGAGCTGAGATCTGAGGAGGTGCCCATGTGGAAAGTGGGCAGGAGAGCATCACAGGCAGGAAGAGCAAGATGAGACCAAGTGCCAGGGTGGGAAAGAGCTTGAAGTGACCTGAGGTGTTGCCATGTGGTCAGCGCATGGTGAGCATTGGTGGGAATGAAGTTGAAGAGATGGGTCGGGTGGATCATGGGGGTCTCATAGCTTGGATGACCGTGTTGAGGCCCAAACTGTGATGTTCTTGAGAGTGAGAGGAGGCACTAAAAATAGTTAATTGGTGATAAGTGATCCACAAAGGTGAAAATCAAGACTGTCCTGGGCTAACCAGGAAGTTGAGTCATCCTAATGATAAGCCTTGATAATACTTTTAGATTCTAATCAAAGTGCAATTAGAAGTGATTGAAGGGTTTCAAAGAGAGAAGTGACCCTTCTTGTGTCTCAGGAGGCTTGTTTTTGAAGCTCTAGAGAAAGTCAGTTGAAGGGGGCAGGAGTGATTGAGGGAGACCAATGAGAATTCATCTAAGCTGGAGGTAGTGGTGATGAGACCTTGAGGTGATGGTGAAGATGAACAAGTGGACATATCTGCGACAGGTTTTGCTTGGAAATAAATGGGAGTCGGTGGTGGATTGGATATGAGGAGAGAGAGGAAAGAGAAGAATCACGACCACTCCCAGGTTCCTGGCTCCAGTAAAGTCTGGATGGTAGGGCCATTTTTGAGACTGGAAAGACTTGGGGTGGGGGAGGGACAGGTTTATGGGGTAAAATGAGGGCTCTGCTTAGCATATGTTACCTTTCAGGTGTCCATAAAATATCTAAGTAGAGGTGTCCAATAGGCAGCTGGGAATGGGAGTGTGCAGCTCAGAGGACAGGCGTGGGCTAATGTAGAGGGTCCTCAAAGCCAAGGGCATGGGTGTGACTATCTAGGGAGGCAACAGCTTCCTGACCTCGGTATACTGGCCCAGACAATCACTCAGTAACTATTGGCATCATCACTCTCTCTTGCATTTGTCCTGTATTTCCGCTTCCGTTCACTGGGAGGCACTATAGACCAGCAAAGAAACAGGCTATGAACACAAGAAGAAGTTCAGATTCTGCTCTGGCCTTACCTGCTGTATGACCTTGGGCAAGTCACTTGACCTCTTTGAGACTCAGTTATATCTTTTGTAAAATAGGACACTTCAGGGTACTTACCTCATAAGAAAGATAAACTATGATCATGCATTTAAAGCATTCAAAAGTGACTGGCACACAGTTTGTACTCAGTTAATATTAGTTATATATTATTCTTAGTGGTAATATTAATTATTACTGTTGCTATTTATATCTCATCAGTGTTATGCACAATTCCCAGCAGTAGGTGTAATACTGCACCCTTTCTCCTGCACTCAAAGCGAATCCACATGAACAAGATATTACCGTAGGGAAAACCGTGAAGACCCTGCTGACAGCTGAGAAAGTGATAACATTACTGAGGAGAGGAAGGAAAGCTTCCTCCTTGCTAAGTCCAGACAGAAAGTTGCAGAGATGTTTGGTGAAATGTGCAAAAGGGAAAGGCATTTCTAATTTACAATCTTTCCTTGCTTAAGTGAGGTCACGTTGCTTCAAACCTGCAGTGGCTTTTGGGGCCTGACTTAAATCCAACCTCGTGCTCCTCAGCCCATCAGCGACAGCCTGGGCTTCGCTCTCTGCTCACCTCTGGCCCTCGGCCCTGCCCGCTCCTCCAGCAGCAGTGGTCCCTTCCTGCTGTGTTGAGCATTCTCTCCCACCAGAGGGCCTGACGCTTGCTGTTCCCTGTCTGTCACCTCTTCTCACCTCTCTTATCTTCTGATCATAGCAGAGGGCCTGGCCCATACGAGGCACTCAATAAATACTTGTTGGCTGAGCTGAAGAAGACACGCCCACCCCAGCCCTGACCCCAGTCACATAGTAAAGAGGTGTAAGAGAGCCTCCTTAGGCTGACAGGGGCCATGACGGGTGCACCCTAGAATCACTAGGAGACCTTTGATGACCCTCCTAAGGAAAGAGACAGAATGAGAGAAGCTCAAGAGGTAGGAGGCCGCGTGTGGCTGGAGAGGCTTGGGACGGGCTCAGAGAAGTGTCAGATGGAAGGTGGAGTTAAGTTTTACCACCCACACCGGTGACGTGGGATGTAACTCCCTCCGCAGAGCCCTCAGCGCTTTTGGAGTTACGATTTTCCCTTTCAAATGTGACAACACGCTGAGCCTGCCCTGGAGCAGAGGGACGTGGCTCCCCGGGGAGGCCCCAACAGCCCCGGTCCTATGGTAATTCGGTGCCCGCTTCCCCCACAGGTGTCAGACAGCGGCACCCCGCCCCTCTCATCTTCCACGTCGGTCAGCGTCCATGTCAGGGAGCAGAGCCACTACCCACCCTCCGCCCTCCCACTGGAGATCTTCATCACCATCGGGGAGGAGGAGTTCCAGGGAGGCATGGTGGGCAAAATCCACGCCACAGACCGAGACCCACAGGACACGCTGACCTACAGCCTGGCAGGAGAGGTGAGCCTGGGCAGGCGCTTCACAGTGGGCGCGTCTGATGGCAAGATCATCGCTGCCCAGGGGCTGCCTCGGGGCCGCTACACGTTCAACGTCATGGTCAGCGATGGGACCTTCTCCACCACTGCCGGGGTCCACGTCCACGTGTGGCATGTGGGGCGGGAGGCTCTGCAGCAGACTGTGTGGATGGGCTTCCACCAGCTCACCCCGGAGGAGCTGGTGAGTGACCACTGGAGGAACCTGCAGAGGTTCCTCAGCAACAGGCTGGACATCAAACGAGCCAACATCCACCTGGCCAGCCTGCAGCCTGCAGAGGCCATGGCTGGGGTGGACGTGCTCCTGGTCTTTGAGGGGCATTCGGGGACTTTCTCCAAGCTCCAGGAGCTGGCATCCATCATCACTCACTCAGCCAAGGAGATGGAACACTCGGTGGGAATTCAGATGAGGTCAGTCATGGCCGTGGTGCCCTGCCAGGGGCCAGCCTGCCAGGGACAAATCTGCCAAGAGATCGTGCACCTGGACCCCAGGGTTGGGCCCACGTACAGCACAGCCAGGCTCAGCATCCTGACCCCGCGGCACCGCCTGGAGAGGAACTGCTCCTGTAACGGTGAGGAATGCGACTTCCCCAGGACAACCAGTGCTGATGGCCCAGCCAGACTGACTCCAGGGATGGAGATCCCAGCAGGGGGCTCTCTGGGGGTAGTTAGAGGGACATTTTAACAGGTTTAAAGACCAGGGACCACCACAAGACAGGTGCGGCCTCACAAAAATCTAGTCATGGAATAGCACCCTAGTTCTGGTCACTTTTTGGAACTTTGAAAATAATGGTAAGAATTCAAGAGGCAGTTCAGCATCACAGCTGAAAGCATAGACTCTGGCATCAAGTTGCCTGGGTTCAAATCCCAGCTACGCCACTAGCTAGCCAGGTGACCTTAAGAAAATTATTTAACCTCTCTGTACCTTTGCACTGTTGTAGGGATTAAATGAGAATTAAATATCAAGAGCTTGCTTAGAAAAGTGCCTGACCTACAGAAGGTGGTCAATTAACCCAAGTTACTAGCACTACTACTATTATTACTATAGCCTGATAGTTTTAACCTCAACGTTTAGACTAAGCAGCTCAGGTTCAAACCCCAGCTCTGTCATTTACGAGCTGTGTAACTTTGGGTGGATTACTAAAACCCTCTGAGCTTTTTCCTCATCTTTGAAATAATGAAGATAGTATCATCTGCCTCCTTGAGCTGGTTTGGGGAGTAACTTACTTAATGGATATGAAAGCATTTTAACCCCTAAGCTGTCTCATACTAAGCACCCCATCAGTGGTGGCTGCCATTCACATGGTGGTAGTTGTTGCTATAAGGACTCTGCTATGTGCCGGTCTCTGTATGTATGTTAGCTAAACTCATCGCCACCACCTTAGGAAGCAGGATCATTAGCTCCATCTACAGCTGAAACAGGTATGGGGATTGTATTGGTTTGCTTGAAACTGTACAGCCTCCAGTGAAAGGCTGGTTATTCAAATACCTGTGTCCCACTCTAAAGCCTGAGCTCTTCGCCAAACTCTTTAGGAACTTGGTGTTCTGACAGGACTTACCCCAGTGCCCCGGGCATTAGGACCAATGCCCTGGATCAGCTCAGGTGCATTTGCAAAAGGGGAATGACATCAGCTCTGCGCCCTTGCCCCCTGCCTGGCCTGGCCTAGGGGTCCATCCAGACTGCATTAGGGAAATTCTAGGAAGATTTGTGGACTTTCTCCAGGGCCCTCTGGATTTACGCTGGGTGAGCTACTCTAGGGGTATGGGGTGGGCTGGGGCTGCAGGGGTTCCCTTCTTGTGTCTCTTACCCTGGAGTCGGCTGCAGGGAAAGCTGTGATGGCTGAAGGTTCTCTCCTGACCCCCTGGCATCAGATAGCAGAGGTTCTAAAATTCAAGATTATGCAAAATCACCTGGGGAGCATGTTTATAAAGTGACCTCCTGGCTGTCACCTGCGGAGCTTTTTATTTAGAAGGTCTTGGGTGATGCCTGGAATTGGCATTTTTAGCCAGCACCTCAGGCATTTCTGAAGCAGGTGGGCCAAGGGCTGCACTTTGAGAAATACTAGGTAGGCTGGCTCACCTAACACCAGAATCACTTGGAAAGAAGTTTGTTTTCTGTTTGTTTGTTTGAACATTTTAGTGAAACAGGACATACAGAAAGATCCATGTATCTTAAGTGTACAGCTCAACAAGTGTTCGCAAATCAAATACACCGGTGTAACAAGCCCAGACCAAGGTAATCACCTAGATCAAGGACCAGAATATGATCAGCACCTCAGAAACCTCCCTTGGGCTCTCTTCCAGTTGCTTCACCCATCACGGGGAGATTTTTAAAATACAGATACCCAAGTGCGACCAGAACTACAGAATCTTACTCACTAAGGGTAGAGCCTAGCATTCTGTATTTTAAAAGATTCTTCAGCTAATGCTGATACTCAGCCAGGTTTGGGGATTCTTGATCTAGATCATCTGCAATATCCCATCCAACAATGACCTACCAGAATGGAATTGCCAGCATCAGAGCGTTTTAGACGTACGGTATGACAGCATCTTAGCATCTTGTAATCCCATGGGCCTCACTTTCTGGTTCTTTCTCCTCCTTTTGGCCTGTGTTCCCTCTCTTCAACAACCCTCTTCCCTAGGAATCTGGAGCCTGTACTGCTCATCCCTTCTCCTGACAACTGATAAGCTTATTCACACTGAGGTTTTAGGGATTTAATAACTGAACTCACTTCTGAGGAGGGTGGATTTAAAAAAAAAAAAAATCTGGGGTGGGCATGGCTTAATATAACAGAGCATGTCCCAAAGGAGTTTCCACAGAATGCTATTTCCAAGGGCTAAGGGTACGTAGTCCACACTAGAGGGTCCCATGTTCAAATAAGCTTGAAAAACTCAAGTTTAGGTGAAGTCTCAGACTCCTCACTGTGCAATTCTGCATTAGCAATTGCTACGGAGGATGCAGCATATGGAAGTTCTGGCCACACAATTTATCACTACCTTCTTCCTTTACCACAGAAGTCTCTCGACTTCTCAGCAGCATTTCGTGTGGGAAATGCTTACCCAAACGATTACACTCCTGAGGATGAAGATTTCTTGAGGCAAAAGCCCTCGTGGTGTCCCTGAAATCACACATATATGCAAAATCCTTTCCAACTCGACCTCCTTCTTTCCCAGGTGATGTCAGAAATCACAAGGAAAATATGGAGGATAGAAGTTTTGACTTCTGTACACTTGATTGATGACCTTTCTGGCTTGTTTCTTGCTTTCTTAATGGTTTGAGTTCATAGTTTCTGATCCAGGCCAGGACCCAAGGCGAGGGTCCCTGGGGCCAGAGGAAGGTGTGCAGGGTGATGGCCCCTGTCTAACTGTGTGACCCTGGACAAGTAACCCCACAGCCTCATTTCATCTGTAAAATGGAAGCAATGACCTTGCTTGCCACCCAAGGGTTGAATGAGACAAAGTCAGTTCCAGGGCTTCGTGGGGACCACTTTGTGTGGAGGTGACAGTGCCTCTGGTTGCTTTCACAGGTACTGCCGCGAGGTTCAGCGGTCAGAGCTTCGGACGGTACAGTCTCCCAGAGGCTCAGAACGGGCACATCCATTTCCGCCTGAAAACGCTCCAGTCACAGGCCATTCTCCTGTTCAGCAATAAGACAGTGTGTCTCTCCCTGAAGGTAAGGCACTGCCAGCCTGAGAGATTTCCTGTGGGTGTGCCAGGCTGGGGAGGTGGGGCAGCATGGGGGTGGCCAAGAAGGGTCACTTCTGCAAAGAAACCCCTGCATGGTTTTCAGGGATACTGGGTGTGACTCTTAGGTAGAACACGAGACTTTCCAGCCATGACAGCCAAAGCCACCCCACCTGGCAATACATGTCCAAGTACAACAGAGGTCAGGCTGTTCTATGGGACGACAGAGAGCCTCTGAAGATAGAAAGAGAGATGGGTAAGGCCACCTAGACCTGGTTGATGCTTTTATCATTTTTGCTGAGTAACAGACCAGTGTTTCCCAAGATGGGTGGAAGGCTGGGGTACATTAAGGTACGTGGAATCCACATGGAGGAAAATGAATTTCCTTTCAAGGGTCTTTTAGTCCTTCCGATTATGTCTTGTAAAAAGTCTCAGAGTACCTGCCTGATTTTAACATCTCTATCACAGGTGCCCATCTCCCATTTTGACAAAGAGAAAGCAGACTTTGGCAGCTAGTTAGAATTTAATCCATTCAACAAATATTTATGGAGCATCTACTATGTAACAGGCACTCTTCCAGGTGCTTGGGTCTCATCAGTGAAAAAGACAAAAACCCCTCCTAGAGCTTTCATCCTATGGTGGGAGACTGACAATAAACCAGAAAATTATAGAGTTTGTCCAAATGTGATAAGTGCTTTGGGTTAAAAGAAAAAAAGAAAGGTTAAGGGGGATCAGGAATGTGGGAAGTTGCAATTTTATTATTATTATTTTTTAAACAAAAGAGAGAATTCTATTGGTTCATGTAATGGAAGAAGCCAAGGGTTGACCCCAGGCTTGGGTAGATCCAGGTGTTCAAAGTATATCAATAGGATCCTTTTCCTTCCCACTGTCAGATCTGCTTTAGTTCAGAAGACCACAAATGTCCCCCCAAGTGATGGCAAAGGTGGGCCCAGCAGCCCAGGCTTTCATTCTGCCACCAAGCCAGCCCAGCAGAAAGGGAGCATCTCTTTCCAACAGCGGTGAAAGTCCCACCTCAGATCTTGATTGGCAGGTCTGAGTCATGTGACTATCCCCAAGGCTGCCAGGGAGAGGGGCCAGCCTTTCCAGAACAACGTAGACTCAGTTGAGAAGGAGGCAGAGTGTCCCAAAAGGAAAAGAAGAATGAGGGGCACAGTAACCATTATTGTCCACCCCTATCCTTGTGTACCTGTCCACCTGCAACGCGGAACCCTGCAGCAGCAACTTCGTGGAGGTCAGCTGCTCAGAGAGCAGGGTGGTGTGCAGGAGAGGCAGCCTGCAGAATATTTCTGTTCTACAGTCACAGTCCTTTTGTGCTTTTAAAGCTCTCAAATAAATCATAAGCCTGGAGGTTATGATTTTCATGGACAGTCTTCTTTATATTTTTCCTTTCCTGCTATATTATTCTAAATTCTGAAAATAGTTTTATGGGTTTTTTTTTAAATAAAAATGACAGATACTTATTGTAATAAATTAAAATGCTATAGGGAAATATACTGAAGAGAGCCAGTTGTTCATGTCAGGCTCCTGTGACCAGCACATGTACATGGCTGAGCTCCCATTTTCGAATCCCTGCTCAGGCACTCGGTCCTTTGGGCCAGAGCCTCAATCTCACTACATCTTGATTTACTCATCTATGAAAATGGGACTCATCCTTGTAGAGTGGTCATAAGAAAGTACTGAGCCCTTGTTGTGCCAGACAACTTATTGCCTGTGTTGTAGAATTTAGTCCTTGAAAGAGCCTTGTAAGTTGGTGACTGTCATCATCCTTGTCCTATAGATGAAGAAACTGAGGCTTGGGGGGATTAAGTAATTTGCTTATGACCTCACAGGCAGTAAATGCTGGGGGCTGGGCCAGTCCAACCTGCTCCAGCACCGGAGCTCTTACCCATTGCGCTGTACTCCGTGAGAACTACATAATGATTCAAGGAAAGCTTTTGGCACAGTGCCTAAAACAGAGCAAGCACTCAAATAATTGTGTTCATTTTTTAAATAGTAATGATACTGATGACATAGTGCAGTTTTATACAAAAGGATGACACATTTGGTACAGTCTGTCTTTTTTTTTTTTGTAACATCTTTATTGGAGTTAAACTGTTTTACAGTGGTGTGTTAGTTTCTGCTGTATGACAAAGTGAATAAGCTATACCTATACATATATCCCCATATCTCCTCCCTCTTCCGTCTGCCTCCCACCCTCCCTATCCCACCCCTCTAGGTGAACACAAAGCACCGAGCTGATCTCCCTGTGCTATGCAGCTGCTTCCCACTAGCTATCTATTTTACATTTGGTAGTGTATGTATGTCCATGCCACTCTCTCACTTCATCCCAGCTTACCCTTCCCCCTCCCTTTGTGCTCAAGTCCATTTGCCACATCCGCGTCTTTATTCCTGTCCTGCCCTTAGGTTCTCCAGAACCATTTTTTTTTCTCTTTAGATTCCGTATATATGTATTAGCATACTGTCTTTGTTTTTCTCTTTCTGACTTTCTTCACTCTGTATGACAGTCTCTAGGTCCATCCACCTCACTACAAATAACTCAGTTTAGTTTCTTTTTATGGCTAATATTCCATTGTATATTTGTGCCACATCTTCTTTATCCATTCATCTGTCGATGGACACTTGAGTTGCTTCCATGTCCTGGCTATTGTAAACACAGCTGCAATGAACATTGCGGTACATGACTCTTTTTGAATTATGGTTTTCTCAGGGTATATGCCCAGTAGTGGGATTGCTGGATCGTATGGTAGTTCTATTTTTAGTTTTTTATGGAACCTCCATACTGTTCTCCATAGTGGCTGTATCAATTTACATGCCCACCAACAGTGCAAGAGAGTTCCCTTTTCTCCACACCCTCTCCAGCATTTATTGTTTGTAGATTTTTTAATGATGGCCATTCTGACCGGTGTGAGATGATATCTCATTGTAGTTTTGATTTGCATTTCTCTAATGATTAGTGATGTTGAGAATCCTTTCATGTGTTTGTTGGCAATCTGTATATCTGCTTTGGAGAAATGTCTATTTAGGTCTTCTGCCCATTTTTGGATTGGGTTTTTTGTTGTTTGATATTGAGCTGCATGAGCTGCTTGTATAGTAGTTTTCTGGTAGCATCTTTAGGATTCTCTATGTATTGTATCATGTCATCTGCAAACAGTGACAGCTTTACTTCTTCTTTTCCGATTTGGATTCCTTTTATTTCTTTTTCTTCTCTGACTGCTGTGGCTAAAACTTCCAAAACTATGTTGAATAATTGTGGGGAGAGTGGGCAACCTTGTCTTGTTCCTGATCTTAGTGGAAATGGTTTCAGTTTTTCACCACTGAGAACGACGTTGGCTGTGGGTTTGTCATATATGGACTTTATTGTGTTGAGGTAAGTTCCCTCTATGCGTACTTTCTGGAGGGTTTTTATCATAAATTGGTGTTGAATATTGTCAAAAGCTTTTTCTGCATCTATTGAGATGATCATATGATTTTTATCCTTCAGTTTGTTAATATGGTTTATAACATTGATTGATTTGTGTATATTGAAAAATCCTTGCATTCCTGGGATAAACCCCACTTGATCATGCTGTATGGTCCTTTTAATGTGCTGTTGGATTCTGTTTACTAGTATTTTGTTGAGGATTTTTGCATATGTTCATCAGTGATATTGGCCTGTAGTTTTCTTTTTTTGTGACGTCTTTGTCTGGTTTTGCTATCAGGGTGATGGTAGTCTCATAGAATGAGTTTGGGAGTGTTCCTTCCTCTGCTATATTTTGGAAGATTTGAGAAGGATAGGTGTTGGCTCTTCTCTAAATGTTTGATAGAATTTGCCTGTGAAGCCATCTGGTCCTGGGCTTTTGTTTGCTGGAAGATTTTTAATCAGTTTCAATTTCAGTGCTTGTGATTGGTCTGTTCATATTTTCTATGTCTTCCTGGCTCAGTCTTGGAAGGTTGTGCTTTTCTAAGAATTTGTCCATTTCTTCCAGGTTGTCCATTTTATTGGCATATAGTAATCTTTAGTAGTAGTAAATCTTTCATGATCCTTTGTACTTCTGCAGTGTCAGTTGTTACTTCTCTTTTTTCATTTCTGATTCTATTGATTTGAGTCTTCTCCCTTTTTTTCTTGATGAGTCTGGCTAATGGTTTATCAATTTTGTTTATCTTCTCAAAGAACCAGCTTTTAGTTTTATTGATCTTTGCTATCATTTCCTTCATTTCTTTTTCATTTATTTCTGATCTGATCTTTATGATTTCTTTCCTTCTGCTAACTTTGGGGGGTTTTTTGCTCTTCTTTCTCTAATTTCTTTAGGTGTAAGGTTAGGTTGTTTATTTGAGATGTTTCTTGTTTCTTGAGGTAGGATTTTATTGCTATATATTTCCCTCTTAGAACTGCTTTTGCTGCATCGCACAGGTTTTGGGTCACTGTGTTTTCACTGTCATTTGTTTCTAGGTATTTTTTGATTTCCTCTTTGATTTCGTCAGTGATCTCTTGCTTATTTAATAGTGTATTGTTTAGCCTCCATGTGTTTGTATTTTTTACAGATTTTTTCCTGTAATTGATATCTAGTCTCATAGCGTTGTGGTCAGAAAAGATACTTGATACGATTTCAATTTTCTTAAATTTACCAAGGCTTGATTTGTGACCCAAGTTATGATCTATCCTGGAGAATGTTCCATGAGCACTTGAGAAGAAAGTGTATTCTGCTGTTTTTGGATGGAATGTCCTATAAGTATCAATTAAGTCCTTCTTGTTTAATGTACCATTTAAAGCTTGTGTTTCCTTATTTATTTTCATTTTGGATGATCTGTCCATTGGTGAAAGTGGGGTGTTAAAGTCCCCTACTATGATTGTGTTACTGTCGATTTCCCCTTTTATGGCTGTTACATTTGCCTTATGTATTGAGGTGCTCCTATGTTGGGTGCATAAATATTTACAATTGTTATATCTTTCTTGGATTGATCCCTTGATCATTATGTAGCGTCCTTCTT